AATCAGGCTTACACAACACACACAGGGGCCCCCTACTGGCCTGGGACCTCCCAAGCAGTAGCCTGCCTTGCCTGTTGAAAAGCAGCGCCTCTACCTAACTAACATGTGTGTAAACTAATATTCCATAGTTCATGAATACTTAAGTTATGGCCAAACATTTCTTTTAGCTATCACAGCATCTCAACTTTTGACCTTTGACCTTTCATAACCAAAATCTAATCTTTCCTCATCCTTGGGTTAAAAAAGGAGTTGTTTCAATCACTATAGTAGGACAGGCCCACGATATATGAATATAACGCCCCAGGCCGCAGCTGTCACCAGCACAGAGGACTTAAAAGGAGCATTGCTACTAAACAGAATCATCCAATATTTACACTTTCAAGTTTCCCAAAAACACAGTAGCCTCGTCAGCCGTCCATCACAAACCAGACTCAAGATGAAACATTTGTTCTCTAAATTGCATTGAGCTACAGGTGAGCTCCAGTGAGTGCTGTGACAGGTAAGATTGCTGCAAATTGCCTGCACAGGAACAATGTTCCTGCGTCGGGTTCAAAACAAGGTCAAAAAAAGATAAATGTTTTTTATGCTTGCAGTCCATTTCCAGCGCAGATATTCTTCCAGGTAGACGAACTTTCAGTCTGTTATTACACAGTGATGACTACCTGCCGTGATGTTCTTTACCGGCTTTTGCCACCTGAAGCCAGATAAGAGTTGCAACATGATAGTTTTTGTTTGATGTGAGGGGTAAAAAAAAACAACAGGGGTTAAAAAAAAAAACCCTCTTCAAATCACTAAAGACCAGAAATCCACACTGGGAAAGACAATGTCTAAATGGTTTAAAGGCTGTCAAAAAAAATACAATAGGCAGAGAAAATGCTTTCATGGCTCCACATGAAAATTCAAGCAACAAATCTTTTTCTTTTTTTTTTTGTTTAAATACTCCACCACATGTCTGACTTTCCGAATTTTACAGTAGATTGAAGATCTATACATCTCAAGTCAGTGAGTCGAAATTCACTCTAACCGCCACACTATTTGATTTAGGGTTATTGTACAAAAAAGTCTCCATCCAAAAAATGATTCTGAAACAGTTTCAGGGGCGTTGGTTTAGATAAATCAGTGGAGCAGGTTCCCCATTAAAGCTGGACTCAGTGGTAGAGTTGATGGTTTGATCCCCAGCTCCTGCAGCCTCATAACCGTTGTGTCCTTGGACAAGACACTTAGCCCCAAGTTGCTCCTGCTGCTTCTGCTAATACGGATGGCCACTTTACATAGCAGCCTCTGACATCAGTGTGTGAATGTGTAGGTGTGACCTGCAGTGTATAAGTGCTTTGAGTAGTCAGAAGACTAGAAAAGTCCTATACAAGCTCAAGTATCATTTCCAGAGGCTAAATCCTTGATGCACTGGTGACTTGCAACCACTTGGTGCTTGTCATCATGACTCCCTCTTTACATTTACTGTCTCTCCTCAGCTGGTCTAATGAAAGAGAGAGCCAATAAAAACTAATAAGAAAATTAGCCTAAATCCAAAGCTGAACATTTTGAAAACTATCCTTATAATGTGTTTGACCTGGGCATGTTTAGGCCTTTTTATTTATTACAAATTAAAAAAAATAAAATACAGGAAAACTTCACACCACAGCCTTTTGAACTGAGTGTTAGTGGCGTCCTTGATCCAAGTACTGATTGTCATGTCCAGCTCAGTGTCTTAGGTTGTTTTTATTTCTATCTTGTATTATTTCCTGGTTTGGGTCACTAACTTCTCCTCTCGTTTCAGATCCTTCACTTCCTGCCCTCATGTGTTTCCCACCTGTGTGATTGTCTGCCCCGCCCTGATTGTTCCCAGCTGCATCTCGTTGTCTTCCCCCTCACCCTAGTATTTAGTCTGTAGCTTCCCTTCCTTCTATGCCAGTTCGTCTTTGACCCCTGTAAGAAGTGTTCAAGCCTTTTGTTTCCTCTTTGATCACTTTTTTGGATTGTGTCCTCTTACAGAGTAAAGACTGTTTTTTTCCCCCCAATCAAAGACTGCGTTGTGAGTCCTGCTTTTGGGTTCAGTTGCCTGTGGTGTTGTTACACTGATGGCCCCTGACTTTCAGTGTGGACAGCAGTTGTCCCTTTCTTGGCTGCCAGAGTTCACCACAGTCACAAAAATGTTTATGGTATGAATAGCTTTTGTCATTACTGGTTCGCACTAAATTGGAGGAGGGAGGGGTTTATAACTAATTTGCTTTAATTTAATTAAGCCTAAGAGATATTAATAAATCTGCATAATTAGGAGTGCTTGAGATGACTGACAAGTGGACGTGCTGTAGCTGTTTGCCAGGAGGCTTAATTCCTGCCTAAGCTCCACCTCTTTGTCTGTTTCTAGATTGATTGACAGTTAGGTTGAGATAGCGTTTCCAACATGACAACTGCAATCGATGGGCATCAAAATACCTCTTCAGAAACCAATGGGTGGTGACGTTGATGATTTTCAGTCGGCAGTCCTTCTGATATCCTCTAATTCTGATTCTGATGACTCAAAACAATAGTTCAGAGCTTCACTACTCAAAGTGTCATGTGCACAATTGTTGTGTGCAGAGCCGAGATAGCAACAATAAAATTGTGATTTGAATAAGGGCCTTAACAGCAAATCAAGGTGTTTTCAGAGTAGATTTTCTAATAATTATGATTGATGTTTCCACACGGATTGGTGGAGGATAGGCTATTTGCATTTATATTATTGCAATCTCCTTTTGTAATTGTGAATATTCTCAACTATAAATTTTATCTTTGAAATTTGCATCTCTGATTCTCATGCTTGACAGAACCTCACAGACGTCCATGCCTGCATATACAGTTGTATCCCACAAACACTATACCCATGCAAAATCTGAGTTTAAAGTACAGGTATGCTCAGATGATTTCAGCCCTCTGTAAACAAACCTGCAAAGATAGGAGGCTGCCTGCATCATTGCATACAAAAGTGTGGCATGACAGCTGTGTGTACGAGAAAATAGCTTCAAATAACAACCTGGAACGTGCAACTTCAGCAAACACAACGGTAAAAACACACTGCTGACTATAATAGCAGGGTACAAGCGCTGTTTTACCAAAGCGAATTCACATTTTGAAGGAGAGTCGTAGCAACAGAGAGATTTTATGATGACAGGACACCCAGGTTTTATTTTGAGGACACCTACAGATCCAAACCAGACAGTTAGATTTGCTGTTAGAGCAGAAAGAAACACTTATGATTACAAGCACTCCCATCCAGCACCAACAGAACAAAAGTTTTCACATGTGAATATCCCTATCTTCCTAAGCCAGGCACTTGAAAGAAGATATTTTTCATGCCTTTTATGACAAAATAAAGTGGCACTAAAAGAGAGACAACACACATGTGGTTCCCTGCTCGTCCTTTTCTAGCCACACCACATATTTTTAGCCCAGCTGTGCATCAAGTCAAAACACCAATTTTGTCTTTTTGGCAGGCCTTTCATGATGTCATCTAGCCTCAGCTTGACACGCACGGCTGTCATCATCGATGGCAGATGGTGAAATGTGGGCAAATGATTTGTTTTGAATTCTACTACAAGCATACAGAAACCAGCACGAACACAAGAACATGGTTAGCTACTGTATATTGCACCATTACTCACATAAGCTGCAGAAAATGTGTTAAATGTACTAACTGCAGTGATTCATTTTATGATCTAAAACCAAGGATGTAAAGGTCAACCTTGAACCACATGCTAAAGTGATTAAATTCATTTTCTGACAGAAAGGTTCTTTCAACAAATAAAAAATAAAGTGAAGTTCACAGTCCAGCAACTGTCCACAAGGTCTGCTGTAAATCAAAAGGAAGCACCTCCTGGCTGTACATCTTGATGACGCTGCACATCCTGACGCTGCTCTGGTTTGTGTCTTTGAAACAGTTTGATTTTGTCCTTCAGAACTTTTGTATCTCTGTTTTATCTTTATCCAAGTTTTCAAATAAGCACAATTTATAGACATTGATATAAACTCAAACATCATCCTTTGATGGAACATAATTATAGTTCTAAAAATAGTGGAGGTTTTTTGTGTGTGTTTCTTTTACTGTCTCATCTACAGAGGATATTATATTCAGGCTGAAAGGTGTTGGGCATTGGTTCACAACCTGTGGTCTGGGCAACCCTAGGAGGCGCACCAAAGATCTTATGTAGGGCTCAAGGCTTTTTCTGCTCTGAGGTTGTCAAAGTTAGATTTGCACATATGAACTAAAATCATGATAGTTCATACAAAGGTCTGTCGGAAAGAACATGTGTGCCGGCTTATTCTGTTTGAATATAAATAATCAATTACATTTAATTGTTTGATACTCATAATTAGGAGATCAGTATTATCCATGCAGGAATGTATGACTTTATATTTACTATAGTGGACACACTATTTTCTATGAAATACAAACCAGCACTAATTTAATGAGTGGATAACGTATGTTAAATCATATTTCAACCTGCAGTGACTATAACAGTCAAATACAATAATTAGGTTAAAATGTAGTCTATTAAAAAAATCTCTTAATTAAAAAAACTAATGTAAAAATGTTGTAAAATGGAAAGCCATAGCTTTTGAGTCAAGTAGCTAAATACAAAACTAGATTTTTTTAAAAATGTAAAGGCCTACTGATGACAGAGAAATTAAAAAAAAAAAAAGGAAATGTGAGGCAATCATTTATTTAGGTTAAAGGGCTTCAATATAGTTTATATAGCATACTCTCTGCTCCCATATTTAACAGAACTTTATTGTAAAAGTTTGGATTAATGGTGATTACACTAAAGAGGAAAACTATGACAAAAACATCACACTAATGTTTTTTAACTGAAGAAGGCCTGTACAAAAATACAGGTTTTGATTTTTTATTTATTTTTTTAATTCCCCTTTCAATTAACTCCTACCTCGTGACGTCACGCACTCTCTCTGCTGCGCTCCTCGCGCTCCCTCCCTCTCTGTGTCGCTCGCGCTCCCTCACTCAACAAAGTGTAGAGTCCGCGAGAGCCCGTAGGAAGCGAAAAGAGAGAAACCGGAGAAAGGAGAGAATGGGGCGGCTGAATTCACCACAGCAGGAGGAATAATAACGCAACGAAAAAGATACAATACATAGAAGACGGAGAAACACGAAGGGGGAAAAAAAACTTTTTTTTTACGGAGGGGAGAAAACTGTTCCGGACTCATCCGACGGCCACGTTTTAAAACATGGATACACTTTTCTCTGCACTCCCGGGACTCCTGTTTCTCCTCTCGACTGTTGGGAAAGTCTCCGGTCAGATACCGACAGGTGAGTACAAAAACGGAATAAAACAGACAGTTCATGGAGGTTTCCTCCCGTGCTGTGAAATGAAAGTTTGGACGTTTTTTTTCCCCCCGTCTGTGCTTACGTTTGAATTCCTGACAGGTGTGTTTAGGTGTTGTAGAAAAGTTAGCCACCGTGTTCATGTTGTAGCCTATACTGTTGTGACTATTTTAGTGCTTTTGTAGGCTACTGTTCAGCAGCACAGGTAGGTTATCTACGCACGTCAAAGTGGGCTTTTTGTCCCTGTGTGAAGTGTAAAATGTTTCATCCTGGGCTGTTCGAGCCTGTGTGAAACTGTCGGCTCTTGTTTGAACTTGGTCTGTTTGCCGAGTCGGGTGCTCAGTTTGCACGAATGACTAAAACGGATGCATGCTTGGATTGGTCACTGAAATGTCGGAGTTTTAAACAAAGTTGACATATTTATTCAGACTCGGAACTCCGGGACTGATTTTCTGCAGCCTACAAAACTACGGGTTTTTAAATTTAGAATCAAAAGTCAGAAATATGCTGCACATCATCATCATCATGAGCTTGCAAACGAGCTACAGTGGCAGACATTTGCACCTTTTGCACGGGGCTACCTGTTAAAAGCTCGTGTTAGGTTGAAGGGATAGAGATTTCATGATGGTGTGTGTGTGTAGAGAAACATCGCCCCCCCCCCTCCTGTTCGCCGTGCAGCCTCACGGACAACGCGTGAATGGAGAAAAAGTTAAGGTGTGCACTAAAATCTCCCCTTGATAACTATAATATTCCCTCCGAATCACTGGAATTATTTACATTTTTTCTAGTTTATACTGCAATCTAGTGCTCTGTGACGTTACGGTGTGATCATTATTGTATCTACGGCGTTAAGCGATCATTTCTGTCTTCGTGGGGTTTGTTTTTTTTAGCTATAATGTTATCTATCGAGTGTCCTGTGTAGTCTGCGATGTTTTAGGACAACTCTAAGTCGTTTAAATGAGTCTTTCTCATTACGCAAACCGAATGAACCTCATCTGCTTCAACTTTATTCGCGCTGCATGCAGTAAAACCTAATGGTTAGGATTATAGTCTGTACGCTGATCTCCTGTTTGATGAAGTGAACGATGTTCTTGCACAGTGATTTAACTAACAGGAGACAGAAGAGGAAGGACAGGGTCGTCCACTCTTACGTAGATAACCTGGCTTTAAGTGAATTTGTGAAGGTTTTACTCTTTATGGTGTTACATGTGATTTGAAATACTATACCTGCATGACAGAGAGGATGAAACTTCAACATGACGCATTCATAGTTGAAGCCCGAGTCTCTGCGCATGACACTTGTTTATTAAACTCTTTCTAATTTGTCCGGTGATGCATGCAAAGCCCGTTTCCCTGACTTCAGGATGCCCTTGGAGCCCGGTTTAAAGCGAAGGATGCATTGCAAAGTGTGCTTGGTTTGCTCCCGTTTCGTCCGTGTGGTGTGCAGAAATGCAACTGTGCTAAAGGGAGGGCAAAACGCTGGATCAGTTCTTCTTGCGGGATGCAAAAGTCCGCGTAATAAACTACATTAGGGGGTTATATCCTGTATACGATGTGTTTGCTGTCTGTGCAGGGCAGATCGGACGTCTTCCAAGATTCTCTGCAGCTCTTGTACTCCGCGCAAGCAAACTCTCTCTCTACCTGTGCCTTTGTGCGTGGATTGGCTTTTGTGCGCTTTATTTCCGCATTCAGCAGTTGTTAGTGTCTGCACTCTTAACTCAGACAGAGAGAGAAAGACAGACACTTCCACAGCTGTTAGACAGCTGACCTCTGAAGTTACACTAACACCACAGAGGCTGTAACAAAGGACAAGTAAAGCGCATTTGAAGCGCTGGACACGACCTGAAGCGGGATATAAAACGTCGCTTTCTGCTGCAGAATTCCCCTTTGTCTGTTAATGATTTGCATTGAAATTACACATTAATTACCACTTCATCTGTGAACGTTTTATTGCCCCCCCCCCTCCCCATATTCTGTAACTCCCCCCTCCCCCTCCCGTGTAGCCATTTGGCCCTCTGGGGTAACAAATGTGTGGAATTTCTTTGAGGCCTCTTTGGGAATCTGAGTGCTGTTAATTTGCAAGTAAATACTAGTGACCAGAGGCCTCTTTGCACAGGGTGGGAGGTGGGCTATCATTAATGAGGAGAGGGGCTTAAAAAAGAGGACTTGCAGTTAGTTGTCTTGCAGAAGAAAATAATATATTTCTGTTTAAGATAAAGTCATCAGCAGTAATTTAATTTAATCAGATCAAGGGAAAGGTTTCTTTAATTGCAATGAAACAATGAAATTTCTCGGGATAATGAGTTAATTGCTTTGCCCCTTTTCAATGCTCACTGTGAATCTTAATTCATGGAGACACGACGTGTATATATGTATTGCACACATAGCAAGACCTTGCATGTATTGCTAAAGGAGTGCAAACATTTTTTATTACTCTAATATGATCCCAGAAGTTTTATGTTTAACTGCCGAGGCTGATAGGGTTAATGAGCACGACATAAATGCTGCCAGCCTTGTAAGAAAAAGTGGTGATTATTTAAACAGAAGTCAGTAGTGAAGAAAATCACGTGTGTTTTGTGCTGCAGCATCCGCCGCCAGCAGTCAAGCCCTGAAATCAGAGACAAGGACGGGGGAAAAATCGATGGCAGAGGATTTAAAATGTGTCCGTCATATTGTAACAAAGTCACTTTGAGTTTGTGTTAATGCGTCTTTTCTCTCAAACTGTCTCATTTCTCGCTTTTATCTCCCAGTTTCCCATTTAGAAAGTCAAACTATAAATTTTAGCATTTCTGTGAATTTGTCTCGTCTTATCAGAATGGTTTTGGCCTATCACTTTCAAAGTCAGTGTAATAAATGTGCGTCTCGTCGACTGTACGAAGACAGTAAGTGAGCTTTTGTTAATTTGACAACTTTCTAAATCTGTCTCCTCGCTGATCGAGCTTTGACACACATTCCAGGCGTCTTTAATCTTAATGAAGTGAAATAATTGTTTTCCATCAGCGTCTGCAGACAAATTAAGAGGCTGCCGCTGCCACCAAACACCCCATCTGAGCTGGTTTAATTACAATTTTGAATTATTTTAGTATTTTGAACATTAGAACCAAGTTGGTTTAATTATAATTACTTTTCTGCTCAACTTGAAAGATGAAATTAAAATGTGTTTTTCCAGAGAGAAAAAGAATTGAAAGTGAGAAAGAGGAGAAGAAAAACAAGAAATGCAACCATTGGTTTTTGGCCGTGGGCATCTCCTCCACTCAAGAGACTGTGAAAACGGCAGGAGGGGGAGTGTGTTTGTGTGTGCTTCGCTGTCATGTCTTGTGTGTGTGTGTGTGTGTGTGTGTGTGTGTGTGTGTGTGTGTGTCATGTGTGTTGCTGTCACTTGAAGAGAAAGAGGGAGGCCGATGCTTTTAAGCCCTGCAGAGTACAGTGGTACAAAGATGTTTGCCTCTCATTTAGTCTCATGTGAAAATGCCTCCTCATTCTACTCGTGCCATGTAAAATGGCGCCAAATCAAAAGGCCTTTTTTATTTATTTTCTCATTAAAAGTAATGCCTTGGTCTGCCGTCTTTCAGATCCATCCTAATGTCTTCTCTTCAAATCAAACGCCGCTTTGCTCAGAGCCAAACTGTTTCCATGGATTTCAATTTTGTGATAGATTTGAGAAATCCATCTCTTTGAAAGTAACTGGCTCATTTCTCCTGCGTTTAGGGATGAAGTCTGCGTGCACACAAGCGTGTGTGTGTGAAATGTAATTAATCTGTTGAGAGAATTCATTAGCTAATCCCTCATTAGACTTTGTGTGCATGTGTGTGTGTGTAAGAATGATTTGGAGGGTTTGTGCTGAAATATGGATTAGCAACACACAGCGACGGTGCAACCTCTTATCCTCGCACTGTTGCCAGAGAGTTAAGTGAGAGGGGGAGTGAGAACATGACAGGACTGACACAGGTTGTGGTTCAGGTTTTTCATACTCCATGCAGTGCAAAGCGATGTTCTACAACAGGTTGCATGACTAATCACAGGAACATTTTTGATTTAAGTAAATTTCAAGCTGATTTTGAGCTTTTGAGAATATGTCAATCAGCACACGTTCCCAGCATCCAGTTATTGCTTGTAATTTGCCTGCTGACAAAACATAATGATTGGCAGGAGGGAGCAAAATGTTTAACATTAAAAATCCTTCTAAGTTGCAGCCTTAGTCTGTATGAGCATGGAGGAAATTCCAACACCTGGATAATAAGCCCAAAAATATTCAGTAAAACAAGAACTGATGAACCGACCTATACAGCAAAAAAGGACTTATTGACAAGTTTACTTCCAGAAGTTGCCACCAACCCATAGATCTTTATCAGTGACATCCCACATTTTTACTTTCTACTTTCTCAGAAGAAAATCTCTACTAACTTAAAAACATCCATGGAAAAAACGCAGGTTGATTTTTTTTTTTTTGTGTGTGGCTGCAATTCCATAAGTGGCCACTAGGCAAAGTTGGACTCTATGCTCTCCATTACAAAAATTCTGAAACATTTTTCCAAAAGACCAAGGTAACTTTTTAAAAAGTCTACTTTTGGGCAACCAACTGTTCAAAAGTCCAAAGATTAATTTAACAGTCTTAGAAAACATGTACAAGTGGCATCCAATCATCCAATTTGGAGAACGTAATCAAATTATTTTTTGAGTTTATGTTTTTATAAAACTTGTGATTTGGAATGTGTAGCCCCCGACTTAAATTGTTAAGCCACAATGGTGATTGAGATTGGACACAACACTCTCCTGATTATAAATGTATCCAGAGGAAGTTAACATGGACATGGAAGATTTGTTTAAAGCGGATGAAATCAGAAACCAATGTTTTACAAAATCCTGTTACCATTTGTCGTATTTTTTCTGATTCTACAACATTTTTCCTCGAGAAACTTTTTAGACAATTTTTAACATTGTCTATATTATTTCATAGCGTTTCCACTCTTTTGTTTCCTGCAAAAATGAGATGGGGACAAAAATGCAGATAAAAATTTCTGAACGTTAAAGTCAGGATCAGGATTAACCTTCAGGCACTGGAACATGATGGGTTTAGATCATCAGCCACGCAAAGCATGAAGTGATCCATGAACATGTTTAAGTCTCAATGAAGGAAATGAAGGAAAGCGGCACATCCACAACAAATCCTGAATCCCTAAAATATCACATCCCTGATGAATGATGGTTATTAGTCCAGTATCATCAATCTCAGCTCGGCCCCGTTTGGCTCTGGTCACAGCTGTCAGTACAAGGGGGCCTTGAAACACCCTGCTGCCTTTCTCTCACACAATCACACGCACATACACACGGTGCCTAATGACAGATTAAGTAATCAACACTCTCAGCTGATTAATTACGTTACAGTTCACACACACACACACACACACACACACAAACATACACAGACGTGGGCAGCTTCAGTACCAGTTGTGTAGTCTAGTGTGGTGATAAAATGTGTAATGGAGATGTGTCTGGTGTGTGTGTGTGTAAGGGCGGGGGAGATTGGGACAAGTGGCGACAGGTGATGACAATCTTGGGAAAAGGATTATTTTAAGGGTTACCATGAGGGTGAGGTGAAGCAGAGGGGAAAGGTTGTGATCAGGCATCTGTTGGCCTAAGAGTCCGTGTTTAAGAACATGTGCAAGCCGACAGATTGGTCTCACCACAGATTTGTGTATCACGTCAACTTTGAAAATATCTATTCTTTCTTTTGCCTTTTTCTAACAATGGTGTCTGAAGCTGTGGGATAATTTGGTTGCTGCTGAGCAGATTTGTTATCAGTCGTGGTCAGAAACAGTACAAGGAAAGAAGGAATCAAATGAAAGCTATTGTGTTGGCTCCTGGTACTGGACAACTCTTTTGGGCTGGGTTGTGGTTTCAAGGGAACATTTTTGGCCCGTTGTAAGCTGCTGCCTTACATCGGACAAATGATTGTTCAGTCTGAATAAGTGTTGTGTGCTGTGAGATGAAGATGTGAATGCATCTTAAAACTTCTCGTGTGTGTGTGTGTGACTCTACAACTTTGCATGCAGTCTAATCTGATTCTTCTTCTTTGCTTTTCTTCTGTTGCACGCAGCTCACATGGGGCGCGCTGAGAAGGGTGAGTTACAAGTGGCCAGCTAAGAGCTGAGCTTCATAGTCATCATCATAACCTAGAGTGTTTGGTGTTGTCGTCATTAACCCATAGTGTTCACCTTAACTGTCACCTAAAGTTCCCTTTTCAAAGATGAGACATCAGGTATGCGCATGTGAAAGAAACACAACGTCATCTTTAAGCCAGCACGTCCTCATTAACCATCACATTTTGATAAAATGATCATTCGTGGGTGTTCTGTTCTTTGCTATTATAAGAAATCTTACGCTGACTCAACATTTCAGTATCTTTTCATGCATCCCAACAAAGATAATAGCTACTGATATCAGTAAAAAAAGATCATTGTATGTAAAATAGCAATAAAAACCTACACAGTATTTTAATGGAGAATTAATCTTGTATCACATATTTTAATATCGGGACTCTTAAGTGTATCAGTATTTTCTTTCACCTCCTAAAGTCACATTGTGATAACATTTAGTATAGAGTCACGAGCCTACTTGATTCTCTGCAAATTGAAGGTTCAATCGTGAAATTTTTGTAAAGCGTCATATTTTCAAGGTCAAATCTGCATCTGTTATAATGGAAGTGTTTTGAATTCACTGAAAAAGTTTGCTGAAACACTGCGGCACTGGTTTACTGTAGTCTGTGTTTGTGACTCTGCCAGCCTGGCTGCCAGTTGATCTATTTGCCATTTGTCTGTCTGTGTGTGTACCTCTCCGCCCTACTTTGTCTCTGTCTGTCTGCCTGTGTGTAGTTAGACAGCTGTCGGCAGGTTTAAAGGTTCCCGCTGCTGTTTGTTTAGTTGAGTCATGTTTTTATTGAAGGATTTTTCAAAGTAACTTTGTCCCTGCAGTCCCTGAACACACCTCTTCGTCTTCTCTTCTCATAACTGTCCATTTTAGCTACCTCACATCCTCTCACTCCGTCTCACACCTATCCTCTAACTCTCCTGCCTCCGCCTGTCTCTCCTTCACACACAGACACTCAATGTGGGAGTGGTGTTAATGAGGGACTGGTGTTTTTGTGTGAAAGTGACAGGTTAGTAAAATAGACGCTGCAGACACTGCACAATGCAGAGTCTAACTGAGTTGTGTTGAGTTTGGTATCCCACAAGGCTTTGCTTTGCTCTGACAAAATCAAAGCAAAAATCATCTTTATGTTTATTTACAAAAATCCACAGTTGATTTAGACAAGTCCCCAAACCACAAAAAATGCTTGATTTCCCCCCCCCCTTATAAACATGTGTAAGTCTAACACAGGATTTGAAGTGCTATGCTCCAAAACACACATTATTTGATGCAAAAATAATAGATACATAACGAAAGCCCAGCAGGGCAGAAACACTGTCAGTTCATATTAAGCAGGACAGATTCTTGAAAACAGTTTTGGCAGCTTCCACCTCAGCCGCAACGTGTCTCAGTAAAAACGCTCAACTCGGTCCCAGAGATAAGATGTGTTTGTGAGTGAAACAACCTCCAGTGCTTCATGAGTTTGCTGTAATTTGAAGGTGAAGTAAAACTGAATAAAGATGTATGTAGGTTTCATGTTAGTTAGGATTTGGTTGTTGGCGGATTGACTTTATATCTAACTTTATTTCTAATTTACAGGCACAGAATCAAACATAAAAAGACTGTTTTCAATAATGTTCTTGTTCTATTTTGAATAATCCATAACTACAAAGAGGGCTATAGTGCTGGTCTTCTGTTTTGAATAGAAACTAAAACCCATAGTTGTACAGTCAAGTTTTCTATTTCCATCAAATTCCACTGAGCCTTTCTCAAAAGGGAAACGTTTTGAAATATCAAGGCCTTATTTTCTCACAAAAAACATCTTTGTACAATACTTATCAAAGCACATACTATTCTCAACTTAATTTCTGCTCCAATAGTAACATGAGTTATCTACTGTCTAAAGGATGTAGCGAGTATGAAGTCAGAAAAGATGACTAGAGCTAGGTTTATTGGAAATACAGCTGTCTGATACAACTGGAATCATCTTTTGATAAGTTGAACAAATGAGTGTTAACATGATTGCATCAAATACTGTTGAAGGTCACATTCAAGAACCTCGAGTAGAGAGCTCATCCCAAAGCTGATGAAGTGTCAGCGTGGGGCCAAACCCTTACTGTAAATCTCCTGTTTCTCTGCTGTTTCTGTAACCGAGCCCTGCCATTGCCCTGCATGTTTAGCAAATGTTTGCCAACACTGGGGGTCTAGCCAAACCACTGAAGACTAAAATACACAAGTTTTTGGGAACTCTTGTTGCTTAACCATGCAGCCTCGCTTCAAATATGAGCTGGGAAGTGTGCCACATGATCACACGATCGTCTTTCTTAGCAGTCCAAAAGATTATCTTAGAACAGGAGAATTTCAGTGGGAATCATACGTTTGGACTTTTCAGGGACATGTGCCTTAGTGTCCTTGCTGAGGCTATTTTAGTCGAACTCAAAGCTCCTTAAGAGACACTTTAGACAAATCAAGATAAGGAAGTGTCTCTGAAGTGACAGGCTACATTGGAATTTGTTCAAGACAGAAAAAAAGCTGTCCATAAAAGGAGGTTGTTCTTTGTTCTTTTGTCTGTATGTGAGTAAACTTGACAAAAAAACGGTGTATATATGTGAGATGGAGCCTCTTTATGTTAGCCTTCAGGTGGAATTGGGTTTATAGTCAGGGCCAAAGGGCTGTGTGTGTGTGTGTGTGTGTGTGTGTGTGTGTGTGTGTGTGTGTGTGTGTGTGTGTGTGCATGCAGCTATGGGCAGTGGCTGAAGTGTTTTCCATTAGTCCAGTTAAGAAGACATCTGTCATAAAGCTGCACCACACACACACAAACACACAAAAGTAGCCATAGCCATAAGCAATCCCTGTGCAGTATACCATAGCAAGTCTCATCCTGATCTCTGTGTGTGGCCACGTGTTAAAACCCCAGAGGACTTACAGCCACAGTATGTACATCCTGATAGCAAAAAGGACAGTATTTTTACAGTTCTTATAGACCTTTCTAATAACTCTCCTCTGCTCTTTAAGCTGATTTCAGTAGAAAGCAGCAGAAAGCTTTCAAGATATAAACCCCTTTTCTATGTGTGTGTGTGTGAATCAGGGGCTCACAGACAGATGACCAGTCCATTAAGATTATCATCTCCATCCCCCGACCGTGTATCTTCACATTACTGCGCTCCTGCTCTGTGTAAGCAGAGATTTAAATCTTCCAGCAGATATCCCATAGTTATCTTTTTCCTCTAATTGATGTTGCACAGTTTCTTTTTCAATCTGTCCTCCATAGTAATCGCTCGTTTTGTCTGTCTGTCTGTCTTTCATTCCTGTGTGTGTGTGTGTGTGTCCCTTCTGTTAGCAAATGACTACATGACTGCAGACACACGGTCAGTCTGACAGCATGGCGTGCACGTGTTGAGCACCTTCAGTCAATCACTCTAACAGACAGGCTGCGTGTGGGAGTCTGCAGACAGACATTTGAGTGTTGAACATCTGTCTGTCACTTTTCTGGTCGTTCCTGCTGAGACACTCTCAGCTCTATATCTAGCTTGTTAAACACGTTAAAGCAACATTATGTACACTCATTAAGATTTTACCTCCAAATAACTGCTTCTGAATTATTATGATTACTAAGTTAAAAGATATCCAAGAGAACATTTGAAAGAAAATGAGCAGGCAATAGTTGGACTAGCTTAACTTGTTTGCCAATAAATTAATAATGTTCACCACTTTGCAAAAATAACATTTTTTTTAAGATATTGCTCCAAGGGAAAGCTTTCTTTGCAAATGAACTAAAGCCGGTTTCACATATGCACTCCTGAAAATATCTGGATCATTTCAGGAGGACTACTCCAGATATTCTCCTGACTTGGCTGTTCACACATGCTCCTCCCAGCTGGAGACTATAGATTTCCCGACGTAAGACGTGACGTAAATAAACAACGTGGAAGTAGCGGCCGTAGCAACAAAGTCCGCTACAGGACGTTATAATGAGAATATTTGCCTTTATATCAATGCTATGTGTAATCCAATGGAATGACAACATCTACAAAAGAGCGGAGCACAACATACTGACGAGCAGAAAACATAATGCAGCCGTTTAATTGCGTGCACGGAGATCGTAGTGGTCGCAGGCAGACACTTTAGGCCGTCACTATATCAACGTCATTTTCTTCCTTTTGGCTCAAATTGAAAATCTCCGGAGTACATTCGGCCGCGTTCAGACATCAGCTCCTCCGGATTATCTGCGGGAAAAAATACTAGGGGTCTGGCCGGATAAACTCCGGGTAATATCGGCTGTTGCGTTCACACATACAGCTCCTCCTGGAAATCTCCAGAGTTTTTCAGGAGATTTCCGTATGTGTGAAAAGGGTTTAAGACTTTCTGCAGTACAAAATACTAGGGGGGCTGGCGGGAGAAAATGCTATTTGCGTTCACACCTACAGCTCCTCCTGGAGTTTCTGCAAGTGTGAAAGCCCTACAAGTTGTCAGTAGAAAATTGTGTAAGAACAAATAAGTTATTTGATTTGTTACATTTTGTTTAAATTTAGACTCTTTGGTTTCAATAGATTTATATTATATCCGAAGAATGTTGTAAACATTTTCATGTACGTTGGCTAGAGGTAACAATTACAGTAACCATGTGACAAACCCAAACTAGCCAAAGAAGACCCCCACTTCAACTTCTATTTACGTCATGTCATGCCTCCCCATCCTGCCTGACAGGTTGAGTCGTCCCCTGCTGTGAGGTACATGTGTGAACAGCCATATCAGGAGGATTTCAGGGGCTGTCCTCCTGAAATTCATTAGACATTTTCAGGATTTGCATGATATGCACATGTGAATACTGCTTTATAGTACAAAGTTACTATCCCTTCACCCTTCACAAACTTCCACTTCCACTAGAGTTACGCTTTAATGTTCATAGCCAGCATCAGCTTGAATATAGTTTAGTTTAAAACATGAGGAAAGCTGTACTTTACTGTACTACTGCCTGTTTGTCTCAAATAGGGG